TGCATCCTTGAATCGACGCTGTACCCGCAGCTGGACCGGAGCCGAGCTTTCCACCAGTGAGTGCGGCGAACCGCGGATGACATGCGTCGATACCAATTGTAAGCACTCCTTAATTCAACGCTGCCACACGCGTGACATGCCAGCCCCGCATTTCCACTACTGCTCATGTTGCTATAATCTCACAGTGAGTGCCACCATGCTTCCCGTTTGTTCGACTAGTGACTACTGCAGTGTTGGAACCCTCTCATCCTTGGAGTGGTCTGGAACCAGGGGTTGAAGAAAAGGCGAATAAAAGGCAATAGATGGCAATAGAACGGCAAACCGATAATTACCGAAAAGGCAGACAAAAGACAGATGAAAGGCAAACAGTCAGACCACGGCAATGAAAAGGACAACACCAGTGGTCTGACTGGACTCCGCACATGCTGTGTCTGCTAAGTCTACTACCTTGTGTTTCCTTATTTTCGAAACCTGAATCCAAGCCTCTGTGAGGACAAAAGGGTAAAACCAATATAGCTACTAGGAGTACGTTTACTTTACCTTTCAGTGCCCCTGCAGATCTCAGCACTCCAGCTTTTTTGTGCCTTTGCTGCTCTTTTATACTGCCTGATTTGCAACTCATGAAATACCTTTCAGGGCTCCAAGACTAGTGTTCGACTATGTTCGAATTTTGCAGATTAGATTCTTTGCGCTAGAGTGCTGTCCCTGGCTACGCAACCGCATCCCATGAATCGATAATCTTCAATGGTTTGCATGACCAGACACTATGAAAATTCAACTCGTTCTATCTGTTACTAAGGTGAGATCACATGAGAAGGTTGAATGAATCAATATGGCAGTTGGACAGAAGAAGCTTGACAATGGAAAATGGATGCACGATAATGAGACCCTTGAACAACATAGAGTTGTTGCAAGATGTATCTGGACTAATCCGGACTATTCCATTTGCAGCTGCAGGCTCCGTAGCGCGGTGCTCTAAAGCGCTGGAAAACCGCCTCGAGCGCCAGCACTCCCGCGTGTGCTGTCAGAACTTTCAATCCTGCTGCAGGCGAAGCCGCTGCTAGTCGAGGAAATTTTTCGGTGATGCCGATGCCATCCCATGCAGATAGCGCTACACAGCGGACATCACAACCAGTCCTGTCATTGCAGCATCGCTCCCGAGCGCAGAAAGCCTCCAAGGCACGTGCACCTGCCGCGTACTGCGCCAGCTGAGCGGCCCCATTCACGGACACGGCCGTAGAAGTGAAGAGAACCGGAAGCTTCTTGACTCTACGATGTGTTGACAACACGGAAACAAAATTTTCCGCCCCGCGAAGCTTCCGTAAAGGCAAATCCATAGAAGTCCCATCGAAGTCGCATAGAGGCAGTGGCCTGAAGGACTCGCACAGGCTGCATGCAAAATCAATGTCCTGGGCAGCGCAATTCTGCAAGGCATCCTGCAATCGACGCTTGTCGCATATGTCCACAGGAATATATAGGACCTCAAACGCAGCGTGCTTCAATTGATCTAATTTGTCTCTTGGCTTTCCTGCGGGCGGCGAACGCCCGAGAAGAATCAAGGTTTCGGCCTTCAGAAACTGTGCCCACAAAGCTCCCACTCCTCCTGCCCCGCCTGCCATCAGCACCCTTTGAAAGTTCAACCCAGCTGTTCTTTTCACCTCCAGTGCCATCGGCTTTAGCCGCCGTGCGAGACGGTTACCATCACTGTCCACCAGAACCTCTGCAGGAAACCCGAGCTCTGTCAACAAATCTGTGGCGGTATGAGCAAGTGTTTCCGCAAGCTTAGTCTGCCGCTGCTCAGCTTGCTGTGCGTTGCTAGGCCCAGGTGCCACGTCCACATGGCAACAACGAAGCGGCAGCTCAGCTGATGCACTGAGCAGCACTCCTGTCAGCAGATGCTTTCGAGGATCCGATGATGCTCCGCACAAGTGGGCACAGCGTCCGGTGGACACACAAAGAATGTTCAGGACTGACGATGCTTGTTCCGGGTTGGCCTGCCCGGCCATACCCTTGCTCCAGGCTTGCAAGATTTGTATCAAGCTGGTCACGTCGCTTGCGTTCCAGGCATCAGTCTGAAGCAAATGTACCAAAGCCGCGGCTTTCCCGGTCTTTGCCAGTTCCTGGAACTGCTTGGGGGCCTCGACATCATCCACCTCACAGGCCACCCAGCATGGAAGGCCTGGTTTCGACGTCTGAACCAAACTGGAACAAACAACCTTCGCAAGCCTTGCTGAGTCGCTGTCTCGTGACTTCAGGTTGCTCAGCACGAGTGCTATTGTCTCCGGCCCCGAAACTTGCTGTTCAGGCAGCTCCTCCGTTTGTTGAACACCCTCCAGTCTTTCTTCCAGAGCATCTTCGTCCTCCTCATTGGCATTGTTGCTCGCAGGCGAGCGCCGATAGGGTTTGTACTCCTCTTCGAAGGCCCACTCCGATGGAAGCAGCTCTTCCGACTTCCCTGTCAGGAAGGCTGAAGTGAACTCCTGCACATCCTGCACCTCAGTGCGCCTCGCCAGTTCCCTGTATGGCCTGCCAGACCACGAGCGGAGCAGCTGGGAGGCTGGCAGCGGTCCTAGCCTTGGGATGATTCCCAATGTCACTGCAAGGTGGCTTCTCAGAGCTTTTACAATTCGTTCCCGCTCTGCTGCACGTGGGTCAGAGGGGGTAAAGAGCAGAAGCGGCATCTCTTGCCCTTGTGTCAGCAGCCTGACAGCTGCAGCAGAACCAGGTGTCACCTCGGGAGCCAGTTCTAAAGCCGCTTCCAGCTCCTCAGATGTGTACTCCACGCCGGAGACCCGGAAGACTTCACTTGGAATGTCGGTGACGTGGAACTGATGATCGCACAGCGACCCGCTGAGGCCTGTTGAAACCCAGCCGCCTTCAAGAAGATCTGCCGAACATGCGAGACCCGGCAAGGACGCCACGCCGCGAATTTCGATCGCACCAGGCATTGTCCCACGAATGCGTGCTTCCATGCCAGCTGCCAGCGTACAAGCACCGCTGCACTCCGTGCTGCAGGCAGGCGTGAAAAGACCAGTGTGCGCCACGACATTGCCCCATGGTGAGAGGAGCTGGATATGGAATTGTGCCGGTGAGCTTGGAAGAGCGCTTGGCGAGCTTCCGGCTAGCTGCAGGATCAACATCTGAAATTCTTCCAGCTCCCCAGGCCGCGTTCGACAAGACAGATCAAATTCACCACCATACAGCACTGTCCATTGCCTTACGCAAGCAAGGCCTTTCAAGCAGCACGCTGGTGATGCAGCGCTTTCACGGACCCGCAGCGTCTCCAATGCACGGCGGAAGAACATCGCAGGAGCGCCTACCTCATGGAGCCGATGCCGTGCGACGATTTTGAGCAGTGTCGTCGGCTTGAGCAGGCCGTCCATGAAGAAGTGAACTTCCGAGCGCTTTAGATAAACCGCTTCGCAGTGAGAGAGTAGCACTGTTGGAAGACCGAATGGCATCCAGCTCAAACTGCTGCCCTGTGAGCTCGCATCGGTCCGGACAGCCGATGTGGCTTTGATGTTTGCATAGATGGCCTCAGGGGAATAGCTGTAGATGCAGCCCTCTTGCGAGACTGCATAGAAGGCGACGGCTTCTTCCGAAGCTCTTGAAAGGTCTACCCCGAAGTCTTTTGCAAGCTCCGGAGACGTGTCGTGCAATGACAGGGGGAGTGACAAGATGTGCGAAGTGCCCGCCCCGCTCAAGGGATGCAAGCTTGAGTCTGAAATCAAAGGAGGGAACCGGAGCTGCTCCCATGACTGCTGAATCCATTTCTGCCTTCGGGACTTCTCCCATGTCCTCGGCACGGTGAGCAAGCAAGGCTGTTTCCCTGCCAGCATGCAGGCCCAGAAAGCGAGGATCAAAAACCGCCGAGGCAAGTCTGGGTCGAGCATAATCCGAGTTTTTTGGTCTCCGGTCTCTTCACCTTTCTCGGTTCCACAGGTGGCTGCGACGATGCATCTTGCCAGCGACCTTGCGACACTCAGCAGAATTGGATAAGACACAAAGTGCACGTTCAACTCCTCGAAGCTTGCGCTGTCCTGTCAGTCGATCGACTGCTTACTTTCAAAAGGTTAACATGGTGCACCGTGGTGTAGTTTCTGAAACCTACACGAGACTGTTGTAATGGGCCATACAAGGCCGATAAGCCCCACGGGAAAACGTCAGTATCGGGGAAACAACTACAAGAAGCTGACGTTCAAGGAAGCAAAGATTATCTGCTTCTGTCGCTGGGCTCCCGTCACTGTGCAGACAGGGATTCGAAATCTTGCAATTCAACGGAATTCCAGTTGCTGCAAGGCATTGTGAGACTTTTGGTTCAAGGTTGACCTGATTTCTTCCAGGCATCTTAACGGCTGTTGCCATAACTGATGAATATGTGTCAGGACATGTGAGACAAGGCTAGACAAGGCGTAGCGACAGACAGGTCTGCAGAAGCGTAGCTGTTTGCCTCGTAGATGGTGAAGCCACCGGTTGGGCGGTGTCTGGCAGCTGCTTCCAAGATGTCTGGAAGACAAAGAATGGGTCCTTCATCAGGTCGGAGCTTGGTGCCGGCAGCATACGCCATGGCACCTTCCCAGGCCCTCCTAATGTGTCCTATTGCGTGTCAGTCAAACGGACCGACGGGGCGGGATGAGCACCACACTTGCGAGCAGTGAGTTTTGCAGCGGGGTGATGTTCCAACATGGCAGCGGTCTCAGTCTCGCAAGCTGTGGCTGAATCGCGCTCTTCAATATCATGTGCTGCGAAACTGCTCGGCTTTTCCCGCTGCGAACGTGCTTCCTTCCCGAAGGACGGAGCACAGCTTGGGATACCAGGCTGTCACTGGGCTTTAACTCGTTGCACTAGCTTAGAGGCTGCAAGGCTGCTGTGCAAGGTGACCTTTCAGGCCACAAGCCTGGACAGGCCAGCATGATCGCCAAGTCCAACTGGGCCGAAAGCGGGCAAGCGGTGAGCAATCCTGTATGGGCTCCGTCCTTGAGTTCATGCTGGATTTGATCTCAGTCGACTTCATCAACGTTCGTTGCCTCTGGAACCTACACGAGCGGTTGTATCCGGCTCTCGCATGCTCCCGACCCAGGCTCGAGCCTCCTCCACGGTTGGTCCTGCAGATGCCCCTGCCGAGCCACCGCCACTTCCTTCTTGCAACAAGATGCAAAGATGCACTGCAGCAGCAGATGCAACTTTCCTCCGGCGGCGCCAAACCCACCAGGCATGCCCGGTGGCATGCCTCCACCTCGTTAGCAGCAGACCAAGCTGCCGGTAGAATAAAGTATGGGGCATACTGTTCAAGACATGTGCGCAACATATGAGCAACCAACCAAATTTGGAAAAAGCTCCCATCACCTGCTGCAAGGTTCAAGAGTTTTTGTAGCTCTGCAATGCAATGACACTGTGCGTGCGGGAGTATGCGACTACCAGTACTGGCCTTGTTTATGAGGTTCATGACGTCAGGATCATTCTGGTACTTTGCGATATTTCCAGGATTGCTCATGATGTCCTGCAGCAGGATTCTGTGCAAAGAATGCAGCACTGCGCAAAACATCTAGGTCGAGCCCCAAACGGAGCAGGGAATCTTGATTTGCACTTGGACGCGAACGCGGGTGTTTCTCTCTCTTCGCAGATTTTGAATTACGAATTCAAAGCGGCCGTAACTGCGCTTGCTGTACGACCTGTCCTGCATTGCCGCCGCCATTCTTGGATCGGAAAAAGCCTGTGCCAATCCACTGAAACGAATCTCTCAGTCGTTGACTCGTGACTTGCCTGCATGAGCTCTGGATCACTCATGATACCACTCAGCATGCTTGGGTCTATACCTGATACGTGCAATGCCAAGATGGCTCAGCTCCTACTTGAGATGTGGCCGCCCGAGCTCACTGCCTGGCATGCCAGGCATGCCGCCCGGCATGCCGCCCGGCATGCCACCGGGCATGCCTTAGCTGGACTTCACTCTGTCAGCCAGGAGCGGGGGCTTGCTCAACAGGGTTCAGGCCAGGGAAACCGCCCGGAAAGCCTCCTCCAGGGAATCCTCCATAGCCTCGTGAAAAGCTGCAGAATGCTCGTGGGAGAGGTCCTAATGTAAGCATACTTGCACAGAACATTTGTTGTCAAACCCTGCAAGCGATGGTCGCTATGCCTGCTCCAGGCGGAGGCTGCTTCTTTGCTTCTTCGTAGGCCCGCTGTGCCTGGGCGTTAGGTCGAAAATGTAAATCGCGTGATGTGAACGGGACTGCGCAAAAATTGCCTCTTCCTTCCTTCGCCTTCTCTCCTGCCATGGGAAGAGTGCGCCATACTCTTGGTGCCTTGCTCATGCAAGGGAGGAGCCTTCTCTTTGCGCTGCTCTGACCGCAACCTCCGCGTCTGCTCGCAGATGACAGGGAAATGTATAGCTTACTTCGGACTGATGACAGACATACATACGTCGCCATCAGCAAGCGCAAGCGCAAGAGTCCGACCGGTCTTTGTTCTTGCGCTCTGCAATTTTCTTGTACTTGGAGTCCACAAGTTTTTGTAACTGCAAGCATGGGCAGGGATCGAAAGGCGATAACCAGGAGAGACTAAGACAACTTCTGGAGCAGACCTCCGCAGTGTCATCATCGAAGTCCAGCTTCTGGCTCTCTGCAAGATCTTGATGCGCCTTGACTTGCTGAGGCTGCTGAGTGCTCATGCTGTCTTGTCCCCACCTGCTCCCAGTGGCCGAGGAGCCTGTGCGCCTCCATCAGATCCAGATAGCATATTCGAGCTATGCTTCTGAAGCCCCGAGCGAGAGCCTGGCAAGCCTCTTAACTCTGCTGGTCTCTTGAGTGCCCCGAGTTCGCATGGGTTGACAGGCAAATCAAAGCTTAATTTGCGAGTCTTGACCGGGGTTGAAAGGTAGTTTTCATGGTTGCTTCACAGTTATGATTTCCTCAGCCGTTCGAACGAAGCTGTGCAATTTTGGTGGCTTGTTGATCACTGCATGGGCCAGATCTTGGCGACAACAAACTGAGTCCAAGGGTATGCTGCGCCCACAAGTAATGCAAGCCAAAGCCGTCATGGAGACTACATCGTTCAAGCCGCAGCCTGCCCTCCAGCTACGAGCTTTCAGCTGCTCCCTCCATCCAAATCCTTGAGCAAAGGCCCCACATGGCCTTGGAAAAAAGCAGTTTAAACCGGCCACTAACCTTTTGGCACTAGAAATGCAACCCCTGTCGCAAAACGAATTTTCGGAGTATGGGAGGAACCGACGGAAAAGCTCCCAGCAGAGGACCAATTGAGCAGGCCAGGGGAAACATTCTTGTTTGGTTTTGCTTCGGCATGTGACTTTTCAACAGCATCTTTGAGCGTATTGATCGATCTCCGTGGCTGCAGGATATGGGACGCCCTCCACATGTTTAAATGCCCCGACCTTCATCAATCGGATGATGCTGCAGCAAACGCAGGCCTTGCCCCTGACACGATAAGCTTTCCCGCTGTCCGGATTGATTTTGAGCGCTGCGTTGCAGTCTGCCTCAGTGGACATGCATAGTTACATAGTTGAGTCTCAGCTTGCATCAATTGTCCTTCTATTTTGCGGTGTCGGTAGGAAGCAAAAGACATGGCCGGACTTCATGACTTGCTTATGGCATAGGCGCAGGTCAATGAATTCCGCTTGTGCGCTGTGTCGCATGCACTTCCATGCAGTTGAGGTCTGCCTTTTCAATGCGACCCAAAGCGGTTGTTCATCTTGAGTTGACAAGCAGTGAGACGAGCACATGGGGTCTTTAGAGACGCTCCGCGCTATGTGTGCGTGTGCTTACTATTATGTTAGGCAGTCCGCCGTAGAGTCTTTAGGTCACCAGGGATATCATGTCCGAGCATGTTCTGGACGGCGGGTGAATGCCCAAATCCAGTCGTCTGCATTCTCCAAGCTAGAAATGGCGTCCGCAGCTGCTCGCCGCAAAAGCTTCTGGACCTGCTGCCTGCAGAGAATGAAAAACTACTGCGAGTTGCTGAACGTCCATTGAGGATTCGAATTGCAGATCTTTTGTCTGCATCGCCTCAATGATCGAAAGCGGAAGCTAAGGTGGCTTGCAGCATTCACACGGGACCGCAAGTGCCTCTTTACTTCTTCATCTCATTAGGTCTTTGTTGCAAGCCGCGTTTATGAAAACAGAATCATTTCCTTCGCAGTCCGTTCCATGGTGGCCTTAAGCCTCCACGACACCTCAAGACTCGGCAAGATGCAGCAACGCTAAGAAAGCATTTACAAACAAAAGGCAACACTGTTTATGCGAAGGTAGTCGGTCACACTAAATTCCAAGAAGCTCGAGAGGGATCGAAGGATCGTCAGAAGAAGGCATGTGACTGCCAGCAGAATAAGGGTGGGTTGCAGCCACGTCTTCGGTGTCGCTACCTCCGTTTCATAGCTGATGCATTCCGCCTGCAGGTGCTGGTGCCGCTTCATATGAACGAATCAACACTCCAGATTCTCTTGCCAAATCCGAGCCTCATTAGGAAGAACTTCCGAGTCCCGCTGCCCCGGAGTTGACGGGATTCGACCGGCACCAGGGGTAATCCAAATAATTCGCCCTGACACAACTTGCCAACGCCATCGCAACCGAGATTTGCCAGCCTTGTCGCTACACACATCAGCCTTGCTCTTCTGCTACTTGACCCAAGTGATCTCTTCGGTCTGTGCACAGCCAGGTGTCATCAAAACCTTGCGACACGAGTGATGTTTATCCACGCGATGATGGGCGTCACATTGCAAGTCAAGAGGCTTTGCCAACCTGACTTCGCCGGCCCCCACAGATTTGCCGCTGAAAACCTTGAACGTCTGAGAATGAGAAAACCAGGCCGCTGTGACCGAAGGCTTGGTCAGATGTGGACCAAGCAGTGATATCATCATGCACGTCTGCTTCAGCTCGTCTTTGAAGTGTCAGGCCGATGAAGCTATTGTGTTGCCGGGGGTTGGAGGGAGAGGCGCTAACAGGGCAAGTGGGGATGAGTCATACGACTTGGGTCGTACAATGTAGTACAGATATTGTCAGCACGGGAGCATGCTGCAGCCCGTTTTTCGTTCCTTCCCCCCCACGTGCGCTGCGCGCAGCTTTCGTGACACGGGACATCTAAGCAGCTCCCAGGCAAACTGTCACAGCAAGCGTATGCCTACACTAACCAAGGCGAAAACAGCAAAGCTGCATCCTGCAGAACATGCACAACATTGAGTCGAGGCTCAGCTTGGCTATCACGTCGGGCTTGGCTCCAGGATGTCCCAAAGCCCGTCCGAAGTTCATGGATCCGACGCTGTAGCCCTGACTTCCAGCGGCATACTAGCGTTTCACTATGTGGCTACATGTTTCCAGGCTTCTGGCAGATTTGAAGAGTCGCTCACCAATCTGACGGTCGCCCGGCGCAGACGCCTGAAGCTGGAAGAGGTCACGAGCATTCCTGGACCAGGTGCAGTATGCGATCCAACCGTATGCAGACACTCGTGGAAAGTCTTTTCTTATCCTGCAGCAGCACAGAAACTGGGTCAATTCCATTTTCACACTTTCACATGCCGCATGCTGCTTGAACGGCTTTTGCTTGGTTCCATGGATGCAGGAGGTGCGATCAGCTGATGGACATGACATCCGGCGATTCATGCTTTCCCTGGTTCCACGATGCTGTACCGGTCCCGATTGCTTCTGCCTTGTGTATACGAGCACGACCAATTCGTGACCAAGCTCGCTTGTTACGCAACGACAACTGCTATCCGGTTCCCCTTCAACACGCTGGGAAACTCTCGCATTTCCTTTGATCCTCACTCTCAGATAATTTCGATCATCCACACCTGTCAAGGGCAAAACCAAAACATGTTCCGGCCTTGAGTGTGAAAGATTGTGAAAGGTCTAGGCATGTTGACGGTGGGCCGGTGCGACTGGTGTGGTGTGTCTTCTTTGAAGGATCAGGGTCGTCAACGCACGAGATGCTGATGCATGCTAGGGCTTGGTAGCTTCTGTTGTGCTGCTGAAATCCCCATTTCTGCAGATGACCGACCATGCAAGGGCCCATTAGATCTCATTAGCGGCCCTTGCAAGCTCAAGTCAAAGCCAGCAACTGTTGGAGATGATTGAACCGTGTGGTGTGCTGATAAACTTTCGCGGAAGAGTGTTTTCAGTTCGTGCCCTGCCCTGTTTGATGAAACTTTCGTGGATATTTTAAACCTTGTCACTTGGCCGGTTTTGCATACACCGGAACAAGGTCCCCCACATCAAAAAGCAACGAAACCGGCATTTCTTTGCCGGAATGCTCATTTGTCTCATGGTGTAACTACAAAGATTCGGCCACCAAACCTTCAGCATCGGATGTGGACTTCCAGGACATCATTACAACAGAACACGTATGGTTAGCAGTTGCTACTGACGCAGCTATGGCTGCTGCTGCGGCTATTCCGTTTGCCACTACAACCACTCCTATTCGTACAGCTGCTGCTGCTGCTGCTGCACTACGACGACGACGACTACTACTACTACAACTACTACTGCTGCTACTGCTACTACTGCTACAACAACAACAACAACTACTACTACTACTACTGCTACTATATACTACTATATTAATACTACTACATACTACTATATACTACTATATACGACTATATACTACTATATATTACTATATACTACTAT